CGTGTTGGCTGTCTGCAGTATGCGGGCATCACAGTGACGCGGGGATGACATACTGAGAGTTGCTGATGTTGGTGGCGGCTTATTACTAAACGGACAGTGGTCTCATCACCCCTTTGCTTATCTACAAGGTAGGTAATTATAGAGTTTAATGCACACCCGAATTAGTTACTGTTCAAATGTCTTTGTGCCAACTTTTTAGCGGTATTTACATCGACTTGAAAGCATGAAGTTGTTAGAAGTATTGATTGTTCAAAATAAGACACCACTATTTCCATATTCGAAATCGACATTACTATTAAATTAGTAACTCAAGATTCACTATCAAGCATCCTGTCTATCTATCTATCTATCTATCTATCTATCTATCTATCTATCTATCTATCTATCTATCTATCTATCTATCTATCTATCTGAGCAGGAGATGTGATCTATTCACATGTCTACATAAGTAAACTAGACATAGTCTATAAAAGCCTTCTCTCCAAGGACGCCGAGAGAAAGCTTCGTTTAACTGCTGTGAAGCAAAACCTGTTGTGAACTTTTGATCATGTCATACCTGTACCTGTATCAGATCATGATTTCAGTAAATATGTGTATGAGATTGACAGACAGAGAGACACAGACAGGCAGACAGAGAGACAGTTAAGCGAAGTTGTTTATGATACAATAAAACAATGCGGGGTGAATACACCACCAAGGGCGCAAGGTGTAAATAGTCATACCCCACGGAAGAAAACAATTGTCATACCCCACGGAAGAAAACAATAGTCATACCTCACGGAAGAAAACAATAGTCATACCCCACGGAAGAAAACAATGCGAATCAGCAAATGTCATTTTGTAAAGCAGCTGGTGTAAGTCTGGTATTTCCACAATACTCTCCTTGGTTATCTTTACCCAATCTGAACCGTTTTATGAAATCAGTTTCTCCTCTTTGTTTAATGTAATTTTGATGGTGAAGATTTGATGATTGGAAGTATGCGGTTATTTACTTTACCCTATTTCACTAAGATGAGGTCATGTTAACTGACTGTCTCCACGAGATGGCTAGCGAGCACTCTCTGTATACCTGGCTCTGTATATGTGGTTCTAGTCTCAGGCAATATGCGGGGAAAATAGGGATATTGCCATACCTGTGTGTCTCGAACGTCACGCGGCACGGCATAAGTTAGTGGTATTATCCTTCCATTTCCCTTGTACCATCAACGCCAGTTGAATCAGTATTTGGGCTATCTCACGGTGCTACAGCTTGATGAGGTGAGGTGAGGTGAAATTGGGTTTTACGTCGTGCTTGAGAATATTTCGCTCATATGACGACGTGCATGCGTGTGTATGTGTAGGTGCGGCTGCTTGTACTAGCCCAGACTTAAGCTGGTTTGATAGTGCTAGCCCACTGAGATGCCATGCTGCAGTGAAGCACGAATACCCCACTCATTATACAGACACATTATACATGACTCCGAGCCGACCAGTCCTTGTTGTACCAATTAATGCCGAACGCCAGGCAGGGACCAACAAGTACCATATTTTAACGTCTTTTGGTATGACGCGGTCGGTGATCGAACCCGCGACCTTCCGCTCTCCGGGCGGACGCTCTAACCACTACACCACGGAGGCGGTCTACAGCTTGATGAGGGAGGTAAACCCGGATGGATGCAGCATCGTGTTACCTCCTCGGCAACACCCACGACAACGGCTGCGGTGCCGACAAACCAACAATCATGAACAATACTATTGTGAGATTCGAACCTCCGACCATCTTGGACGACGAAACCTGATATACTTTGGTAATGTCATTTACAAGACGTATGTACCTTGTTTTCCTTACAGTCAGGGGACGGTAGGGTAGCCTAGTGGTTAAAGCGTTCGCGTGTCACGCTGAAGACCCGAGCTCGATTCCCTACATGGTACAATGTGTGAAGCCCATTTTTGTGGTCCCCGCCGTGATATTGCTGTAAAATTGTAAAGAGCGGCGTAAAAAAAAATACTCACTCACTCATTACAGTCAGTGAGAAGAGAGAGTTGCGATCCTTACAGTCAGTGAGAAGAGAGAGTTGCTCCTCATTGCCGTGGCAGGATCCACTATGCAAGATCCCAGTCTGTCAACACTTGTTTCTTGCGTCACTGTGGTCTGTTAATCTTCATTAAACCTATAGCTGACAATAACGTGTAGTATTCACATCGGCCTCAGACAAATGTCAACGAGGCACAATAATATCTCAACACAGCGACATAAAGCAGCCATTACGGGGAACATCAGCAGTGGCTTGACAGCGAGCCATGTCTGTTTACAACGTCAGTCCCAGTGCTGGTCATGGCCACTTGACCTGCAGTACCTGCTGATGAGATGCGCCGCCTCCCACGGGCCGCTTTACGTAGTAGGTTTCTGCATGGTTCATACATAATACAGTAGGCCGATACATTGTGGCAGGATGGATAGTCCAGCCACAGACACGAGTCCAGCAGTAATGTGAGGGGAGGTTTATAGACTTGCAAAGTTGAATGTTCAACAATTAAATATACCATTACACAGTTATTGTCGTGATTCAAGGTTGGCATATCGTGTTAAGTTTCAAGAAATACAGTAAATCCGCTATCTTTTAAAGGGTGTGTCTGGTCCATCACTTGCTTGTCTGGTCGAGTGTGTATAGTTCGCCGAGAGAGAGATAACATTGATGAAGCTCATTGTCCAGGAAAATAAATAGATATACAAATAGTACACCCTGACATGACCAGTGCAGTCTTCTGCGTCCTGGGCCTAGATTTTCGAAGCTCTCATAGCGCTAAGATAGTCGTAAGTTAATGTTAATGTATGGCACTTATGACTATCTTAGCGCTATGAGAGCTTCGAAAATCTAGGCCCTTGATCCTAGGTTACATTGTTTCTGTTTTTGTTGCGTGTTGATTTCAGTCGTAAATCGGTCCGTAAATGAATTCAATCTGAAACCACCAAACAAAAGGAAATTTTCTACACTTAATTCTAAAATGAACTACATTTACGAATCAACACAAATTACTGCAAAAGAACTGAAACGGCAGTAAAAAACAGAGTGACAATACTTATAGAACGTAAGTAAAGTAGAATATACTAGCAGTAGTATTGGCAGTTTAGTCAGTGATATTAAGATTCACCAGCCAGAAGCAATGGTTCAACAACACATCAAACGGAGATACCCAAGGAGAGAATAACTATATTCATGGACTATCGATAGATCAAGTGATGTAAGGTGATAGAGGAAAGTGATGTAAGGTGATAGAGGAAAGCGATGTAAGGTGATAGAGGAAAGTGATGTAAGGTGATAGAGGAAAGTGATGTAAGGTGATAGAGGAAAGTGATGTAAGGTGTTAGAGGAAAGTGATGTAAGGTGATAGAGGAAAGCGATGTAAGGTGTTAGAGGAAAGTATTGTAAGTGATAGAGGAAACTAATGTAAGGTGACAGAGGAAAGTGATTTAAGGTGATAGAGGAAAGTGATGTAAGGTGATAGAGGAAAGTGATGTAAGGTGATAGAGGAAAGTGATGTAAGGTGATAGAGGAAAGTGATGTAAGGTGATAGAGGAAAGTGATGTAAGGTGATAGAGGAAAGTGATGTAAGTGATAGAGGAAAGTGATGTAAGAGGTGATAGAGGAAAGTGATGTAAGGTGATAGAGGAAAGTGATGTAAGGTGATAGAGGAAAGTGATGTAAGGTGATAGAGGAAAGTGATGTAAGGTGATAGAGGAAAGTGATGTAAGGTGATAGAGGAAAGTGATGTAAGGTGATAGAGGAAAGTGATGTAAGGTGATAGAGGAAAGTGATGTAAGGTGATAGAGGAAAGTGATGTAAGGTGATAGAGGAAAGTGATGTAAGGTGATAGAGGATATGAGGAGGAAAGTGATGTAAGGTGATAGAGGAAAGTGATGTAAGGGTGATAGAGGAAAGTGATGTAAGGTGATAGAGGAAAGTGATGTAAGGTGATAGAGGAAAGTGATGTAAGGTGATAGAGGAAAGTGATGTAAGGTGATAGAGGAAAGTGATGTAAGGTGATAGAGGAAAGTGATGTAAGGTGATAGAGGAAAGTGATGTAAGGTGATAGAGGAAAGTGATGTAAGGTGATAGAGGAAAGTGATGTAAGGTGATAGAGGAAAGCGCATATGGGAAATAGGTTCTGGAAGCTGGATCATTCCTGCTGCTCTTGAAGCTTCCACATTGCTCTCGACTTTATACTTTGGTCTTGAACACCTTGACAAGAACGAACTAGCTCTCTCGCTTCCTCCCGTACAGCCGGTCGCTATATGTGATTGACATAATGGAACCTTGGAATGTAGGTGTAAATCCCGCTTTGCCCCGATCTGGTACCCGTGCTCGAGATGTTCATCAAAGCGAAAAATGCGTGAGATCTGCATAATTTCGGACTTTCACTGAACATTTAACATTAAGCTGACACACGGTCCTATTGTTGGAATAATGTTAAAAGCAGCGCTAAACACAAATCACTCACTCACTGTCTTGCTGCCCACGCGTATGTCTCCAACATAGCCACAGTAAAACACATTCAGACAAAGTATTTAACTGTTACGTAGCACTCAATCCTATTCGTTCGTGCTCACGATTACTACCAATTACGGTTTACGTTATACGATATTTTTGAGCTTCTCGAAACATACATCACTGTTGGACATGTGGAACGCCAAGTTGATGAAGTAGACTTGGAGTGTCCGCTGTCTTTTCATGTGTCATTTGACAGTCACCCAGTCCAGACAGTTGTATCTGGCCGACCGCAACCCCTGTGATAAGGGTGTAGGACTTGGTCAAGCCATGTGTCTATAGAATGATGGATCCTGAAATATCAATTAAGGTTGATCATCTCTCAGTACCCCTGCTTCCCCTAGGATGCACCGCTAATTCAAAGCACGGCAGGATCGCCGGCTGCTGTCATATTTTGACATATCTAATTTCCGACTGGTTGGTGAGTCCAGCCCTCGACCCCCACAACTGATTGCTGCACTTGGTCCCGCATCAATGTATGTCTGCAATATACCTCTGTACGACACCACCGTGGCCTTCCTACACGACACTACCGTGGCCTTCCTACACGACACCACCGTGACCTTCCTACACGACACTACCATGGCCTTCCTACACGACACCACCATGGCCTTCCTACACGACACCACCATGGCCTTGCTACACGACACCACCGTGACCTTCCTACACGACACTACCATGGCCTTCCTACACGACACCACCATGGCCTTCCTACACGACACCACCATGGCCTTGCTACACGACACCACCATGGCCTTGCTACACGACACCACCATGGCCTTCCTACACGACACCACCATGGCCTTCCTACACGACACCACCATGGCCTTGCTACACGACACCACCATGGCCTTTCCTACACGACTCCACCATGGCCTTCCTACACGACACTACCGTGGCCTTCCTACACACGACACCACCGTGACCTTCCTACACGACACTACCATGGCCTTCCTACACGACACCACCGTGACCTTCCTACACGACACCACCGTGACCTTCCTACACGACACACCACCATGGCCTTCCTACACGACACCACCATGGCCTTCCTACACGACACTACCATGGCCTTCCTACACTACACTACCATGGCCTTCCTACACGACACTACCATGGCCTTCCTACACGACACCACCATGGCCTTCCCTACACGACACCACCGTGACCGTCCTACACGACACTACCATGGCCTTCCTACACGACACCACCATGGCCTTCCTACACGACACCACCATGGCCTTCCTACACGACACCACCATGGCCTTCCTACACGACACCACCATGGCCTTCACTCCCACCATGGTATTCCCGAAGAGGGAGTATGTCAGGAACCAGCCATCATGGCAAAGTTTCGGGTAATTCTTTATGCTTGAAGGGGGGCGATACCAAGGGCAAGATTCAGCACGTTAATCAACAGTATGACGTCAAGGTGTCGTCCCCGTATCGCCCCAAATGGTATACACACCAGATCTTGTCTACATGCCATTTTACAGACATGTTTCGTCATTACATGTTCTCTTCATTTACGGGTTCTCGTATTTTTGTTGGTGGTAAAATTCAGACAAAACCGTCTGTGGTAATTGCATTACGTCAGCCGTGTGCCAGTCTGTCTCCTGACTGTGACAGCAAAGACTATTGGATGTGACTTCATGGTTTATACAGGTCTGTATCTCAGCACAGTGTACATCACCAGGCCTCACGCCAAGGTGTCAAGTGAGAGAATGATGTGGCTTCTCACCTATCGGATGATAGATATCAGCATTATCGGTAAACCCCACTCCTGCATCTACACGGTGATGGATGGACAAGTGGTTGGGGCGAGATCTCCAGCTTTGTATTGAATTTGTGAATGATCATTACCATGAACATACAAACATTCGCCCATATGTATTACTATAAGTCACATGGGCATCTGCCATTTTGTCGAGTCTGCTGATAGCAGCCCCTGTCTCTCTCTGAGTTTTGTGTGGGAGAGACACGGATATTTACGGCGCTTGTATAATCGTTGTTCCTCATTGGGTATCAGGACGACTGTACGCTTGTCAACTGATGGGCTGTTAAATTAGGCTTCGTAACAGCAGCTAGATTTATAAATCTACCTGGTCATTTCCTTATATTGATCCTTTTCAGTTGTTAGAACCCGGGGTATGATTAGACAATTAATATTGAAATGCCTTCCTCAGACGTACCCACAATTCTCTCGCCACGTGTAGGAAGGCCACCACCGTGGCCTTACTGCACGACATCACCGTGGCCTCCCTACACGACACCACCGTGGCCTTACTGCACGACATCACCGTTGCCATCCTACATGACACCACCGTGGCCTCCCTACACGACATCACCGTGGCCTCCCTACACGACATCACCGTGGCCATAATACATGACACCACCGTGGCCATCCTACATGACACCACCGTGGCCATACTACATGACATCACCGTGGCCATCCTACATGGCACCACCGTGGCCTCCCTACACGACATCACCGTTGCCATCCTACACGACACCACCGTGGCCTCCCTACAAGACATCACCGTGGCCTTCCTACACGACATCACCGTTGCCATCCTACATGGCACCACCGTGGCCTCCCTACACGACATCACCGTGGCCTCCCTACACGACATCACCGTGGCCATACTACATGACACCACCGTGGCCTTCCTACACGACACCACCGTGGCCTTCCTACACGACACCACCGTGGTCTTCCTACACGACATCACCGTGGTCTTCCTTCACGACCCAACGATGGCCTTCATACACGACACCACCGTGGTCTTCCTACACGACATCACCGTGGTCTTCCTTCAAGACATCACCGTGGCCTTCCTACATGACACCACCTTTGTCTTCCTACACGACATCACCGTGGTCTTCCTTCAAGACATCACCGTGGCCTTCCTACACGACACCACCATGGCCTTCCTACACGACACCACCACCACCTCTGTACTAGATACCACCCCACGACACTACCGCCTCTGTACCCATCTGTCATGTGTCATACCACGCAACGACACTACCGCCTTTGTACCCATCTGTCATGTGTCATACCACCCCACGATACTACAGCATCTGTGCCCATCTGTCATGTGTCATACCACCCCATGACACTACCGGTTCTGTACCCATCTGTCATGTGTCATACCACCACACGACACAACCGTCTCTGTGCCCATCTGTCATGAGTCATATTACCCCATGACATTACCGGCTCTGTACAACATCAGTCATGTGTCATACCACCCCACGACACTACCGTCTCTGTACCCATCTGCCATGTGTGATACCACCCCACGACACTACCGTCTCTATACCAGTCTGCCATGTATGACACCACCCCACGACACTTACGCCTCTGGACTAGAAACTACCCACGACACTACCACCTCTGTACTCGATACCATCACACGACACTACCGCCTCTGTACTCGATACCAACACACGACACTACCACCTCTGTACTCGATACCAACACACGACACTACCACCTCTGTACTCGATACCAACACACGACACTACCACCTCTGTACTCGATACCAACGCACGACACTACCGCCTCTGTCTGATACCGATACCAAAACACGACACTACCACCTCTGTACTCGATACCAACGCACGACACTACCGCCTCTGTACTCGATACCAACACACGACACTACCGCCTCTGTACTCGATACCAACCACGACACTACCGCCTCTGTACTCGATACCAACACACGACACTACCGCCTCTGTACTATACCAACACACGACACTAACACCTCTGTACTCGATACCAACACACGACACGACCACCTCTGTACTCTATACCAACACACGACACTACCACCTCTGTACTCTATACCAACACACGACACTACCACCTCTGTACTCGATACCAACACACGACACTACCACCTCTGTACTCGATACCAACACACGACACTACCACCTCTGTACTCGATACCAACACACGACACTAACACCTCTGTACTCGATACCAACACACGACACTACCACCTCTGTACTCGATACCAACACACGACACTACCGTGACTGTACTCGATACCAACACACGACACTACCACCTCTGTACTCGATACCAACACACGACACTACCACCTCTGTACTCGATACCAACACACGACACTACCACCTCTGTACTCGATACCAACACACGACACTACCACCTCTGTACTCTCGATACCAACACACGACACTACCACCTCTGTACTCGATACCAACACACGACACTACACCTCTGTACTCGATACCAACACACGACACTACCACCTCTGTACTCGATACCAACACACGACACTACCACCTCTGTACTCGATACCAACACACGACACTACCGCCTCTGTACTCGATACCAACACACGACACTACCACCTCTGTACTCGATACCAACCCACGACACTACCGCCTCTGTACTCGATACCAACCCACGACACTACCGCCTCTGTACTCGATACCAACACACGACACTACCGCCTCTGTACTCTATACCAACACACGACACTACCGTGACTGTAATCATCATGTCCATCCCGCTCCCTGTATTCTCTAGCGATAACACTTGCAGATTTAAATGCATTGCATAGTGCAATTAATGTAATGAGAGATGATGTGGAGGAGCCAGGTGTAGTTCGGTCATAGCTAGGTCTCACTGAAACCATAGCCTGACGATAATACTCAAACAATCAAGAAATTACGTTCTATGTTTGCCAAACATTTATGCACCTTGGGATTATGACACAGTCGGCAGCTTGTGTGTGCACCTGCGTGACGTGCTGTTCATGGATGATCTGAAATATCATTGTGATTACATGCCGCGTTCACATACCGCCTCACGGTATTGTGATTACATGCCGCGTTCACATGCCGCCTCACGGTATTGTGGTTACATGCCGCGTTCACATACCGCCTCACGGTATTGTGATTACATGCCGCGTTCACATACCGCCTCACGGTATTGTGATTACATTGTGCGTTCACATACCGCCTCACGGTATTGTGATAACATGCCGCGTTCACATACCGCCTCACGGTATTGTCATTACATGCCGCGTTCACATACCGCCTCACGGTATTGTGATTACATGCCGCGTTCACATACCGCTACACATGGTTCACTGTAGACATATAAGGAGATACCTTAAACTGTGTTGAGAAATTGTTGTCACTTTTCGACTGTTTTGATATAGCGTCAATGCCACATATCTAAAATGGTCTGATATTCTGTTTTGATGCGTGTCGATACTGGTATCATCATGATGTGTTTACAACATACGGTAAACCATGTTACTATCCTGAACTGATAGTAATACCGTAAGGTTGTAGTAATACCTTAACGCTATTAGTAATACCTCAAGGCTGTTGGTAATACCTTCACAACGACTACTTTGTCCTGCTATTACAGTACGACTGACCTTTTATGAAAAGCTTTGACATGACTGACTGCATGAATAAGACATGATTGTTTTTGTCCACTTTCTGCAAATTGGACGAATAATAATGCAAGCATGGCAAACACGACATAAGCCGAGAGTAGGTGAAGCAGCAACGTGCATGTCGTTCTGTCAGTGAGCTGAAGTGCCGGCACCCGTCAGTATACACATGAATGTTGGACTGGACAAAACTACTTTATCAAAATATTTTAAGCTAAACGTCTGATGTCTGGAAACCACCCGACGCTGATGGCAACGATATTCATCCTCCTGATGTCTTCACCATCGAGTAACCAGTCCCTGTCTGTATTACTGGTAACAAACCTCAACATTGGCGTATATCTGTGGTCCAGCAGATTAGTCATTGACGTTAAGCCCTATCTGCCATGTTAGTGTGACCGGGGAGCGTACAAGGGAGTGTCACGGAGTATCGGAACTAAACCAGAACATGATGATGACAAACCAGGGGTCATAAGCGTGTTGGATCTAGGAGTCGAACCCGGTGCCGACAGGCCCAGGATCCGGACTTCTGTTTCATATAAGGTATAGTCGACCAACATGTCATTCATGGCCGTTTCTGTAACATAAAGTTTCTGTTTGCCACTTTACCCACAATACATAGTCACACGGTCAGCGTATACATCACCGTAAACAACAACGTAAATATATGAAGCCCACAGAAAGACAGACTCAGGTGGAAATAAAGTTTACAATCTATTATTGAAAACAATAAAGTTTGTGGCTCAAAGTGTATCTTTTCACGAAAATATCGGTTTTCACAACTTCACAAATAAGCACAAGTTGAAAGAGGATAGTTCCCGGAGTGAGTGTATTCCATGGACGTGAGACACGTCTGACAAGCCTCTCGTCTTTGTGTTGTCAGATCATGATTTCCTTCTCGGGATCAAAGCAACCCACAACACAGTATCACGGAATGTTCTAACGAACAGTAGGGCGTGGGTTCAACTATTGCTTATCATAAACATTCTTCAGTGCTTAATCGAGAAGAGAATGTTATGAAAACAAAAAAATTGAACAAATGGCAGGAAAATCTATAAATGTTCCCTTCCGGTTCAATCGAATGAAGTCTTTTGAGCTTGAGTAGGTTACAGAAAACCAACATTAACTTTGAAGCTAAGCCCAGTTGCTGTGTACATGAAAAATCCATTGCGATGTCGTCTGTATATGCTGACTAGAATTTGCTCTTAGCTGTACAGTCGAGCAAAGGCAACCGCTCTCTCATACTGGGATTCAAACGGCAACTTTTCAAGGCATGTATAACGAATTCAAAACAGCCGTGTGTTTGGGTGACAAGCACTGACTTCATCATGACGACCAACGACGTGTGGGCAACCCCATCATATAATAACGCTTCCGGTGGTCATCACTGGTCATCAGAACAACATCTAGGGAGGTTGTTAGGACCTACTCGTTTAAGGGGGAAATACATGTAAGTTGCTATTGTAAGGGAAAGTTTATATGTGTTCATTGCAGCCAGTAACCTTAACCTAATCAATGTCAGACAGTTTTAACAGCAAACGTTCACTGACAATATAATTCGAAAACAGTCCTAGCCATAACTGTAAGCAGTTTCCATTATACAATCCGACTATATAATATTAGAATCTATACCAAGTAATAAAACCAATCTTCGCGGAAAGCGTACCCTCCCTAATCGGGGTGGCACCTAAAAACACACACGCAAGCGTAAGTCAAGTAGTGAGGAGCAAATACTGGAACTGCATTGGACATCATGCTTCCAAATATGCATTCACAATGCCTGCAATTAAACTAGCGAAAGGTGGCACTCAGATATTAGAGTGAGTGAGTGAGTGAGTTTAGTTTTACGCCGCACACAGCATATATTGCAGCTATATGGCGACGGTCTGTAAATAATCGAGTCTGGACCACACAATCCAGTGATCTACAGCATGAACATCGATCTGCGCAATTGGGAACCGATGACATGTGTCAACCAAGCCAGCGAGCCTGACCACCCGATCCCGTCAGTCGCCTCTTACAACAAGCATGGGTTACTGAAGGTTCATTCTAATCCAGACCTTCGCGGGTTCAGTGATTGGACGTTAAACAATGATTAAATACATTTTGAGTGAATCTCTGCTTCATTCAAATTTGAAGCTATGCAGTGTAACATCTAGTTGTGACGGGCACCTTGCAGTGTAATACTATCTCGGCGTGACGGGCGTCTAGCAGGGTAACATTATCTAGTCACGAGGGACACCTTGCAGTGCAACACTGTCTAGGCGTGATATGAGGGGCGTCTTGCAGTGTAACATTATCTACTCGGGACGGGCACCTTGCAGTGTAGCACTATCTAGTCGTGGCGGACGTCTAGCAGTGCAACATTATCTAGTCGTGACGGGTGTCATGCAGCGTAACGCTATCTAGTCGTGAGGGGCGTATTGCATTGTAACACTATCTAGTCGTGCTGGGTGTCTTGCAGTGTAACATTATCTAGTCGTGAGGGGCGTCTGGCAGTGTAACACTTTCTAGTCGTGCTGGGTGTCTTGCAGTGTAACACTATCTAGTCGTGAGGGGCACCTTGCAGTGTAACACTATCTAGTCGTGAGGGGTATCTGGCAGTGTAACATTATCTAGTCGTGAGGGGCGTCTGACAGTGTAACACTATCTAGTCGTGCTGGGTGTCAGGCAGTG